AGGGGATATCGCCCAGTCCTTACAGTGATTTTTGGTTCAGTGAGCTTTCGATCGATCGAGATGTGCAAATAGTGATGATAGTAGTGGGTTCAGCGAGCTTTACGCCGGCGAACTACTGTTCGTCTTCATGAACAGAGCACCACACAGCTTCCTCTTCAATGCTTTTTACACTTTTCCATTATTTTCTGACGCAGCGTGGAAGCAATGAGAAACCGGGCTGGCTATGCAAGCACCGGGCGATCGCTAGCTTCTAGCGAACTTGGCGGCTATGGCGAAGTCCCACTGTTTTGGCCTCTCCCGACATATGCTGCGAATTAAATTCCCTAAGGTCCGGTTTACCACTTCTGTCTGTCCATCTGTCTATGGATGGGCTGTACTGCTGAAATTAAGTGATGAATCAAACAACCTCCACAGGGTCATCCAAAAGTGACTGAGGAACCATGTGTCACGATCTGATGTGATGGCCTTGGGTACCCCATGCAAGTGGACAATCTCCCTAAAAAACAATTTGGCTGTAGCGGATGCATCTACTGTTTTCTTGCATGGGAGGAAGTGAGCCATTTTTGAGAATCTATCAACCACCACGAAGACAGAGTCCATGTTCCTCTAGGTCTTTGGCAAGCCTAGCACAAAGTCCATGGACAGGTCTTCCCATATAGTAGTAGGAACGGGTAGGGGCATGTAGAGACCTGTGTTCTGGGTTTGTCCCTTAACTGTCTGACAAACATAGCACCTGCTTACAATGGTAGACACGTCCCTTCTTAATTTCGGCCAGTAATATTGCCCCTTAACTGCTTCTACTGTTTTATCCCTTCCCAAGTGTCCTGCTAATCCACCCCCATGCAAATCCCTAATAATCTTTTCGCGGAGGGAGGTGCAAGGGATACACAACTGTTCCCCTTTCATAAATAAAGAAGTCCTCTGCTGGCTGCTTAGTCACACATTTCTCCCATACTTGTTGAAAGTCTTCATCCTGGGCATATAAATCTTTTAGGCACTCAAAACCCACAATCTCAACACTGAGGGTCTTGATGAGAGCTACACGCCTACTAAGTGCATTAGCCACTTTATTTTGCTGTCCTGTCTTATACACAATTTTATATGGGAACTTGTGTAGGAAAGCAGACCATCTGGCATGTAAATCACTTCTTAATTGCTTTTGTCCACTAAGATATTTTAGGGCCTGGTGGTTAGTGTAGAGAATAAATTCTTTTGCAATTAAATAGTGTTCCCATGTCTTCAAGGCTCTAACCACAGCATAGAACTCCTTGTCATAAGTAGACCACTTTCTCCTGGCTTCACATAATTTTTCATTGAAAAAAGCAATGGGTCTTTTCTCTTGGGACAATACAACCTCTATGCCAACTCCACTGGCAT